ATGGATATACCATATGTAAATGCTTAGCTGTAACTCCAAGCACAGACACTGAGTCTAAATCTTGTATTTCAGTGTTACAAAAACGGTATATGGTAAACCGCTTCTTAGAAGCCTCACATGGTAAATCCCAAGAAGTGGAATGACTTTGGTTATGATTTTTTGTTGGTTTGCTTAGAATGTGTATTTGGTTTTTGAGGGGCACCCTGAAGCCTGGGGCTCTCTGCCTGGAGGAGCTGAGACCCCGGGATCCTGCTGCCTCCACCTACAACACAGCTCTGCAGGCATCACACTAACGGTTCCCTCCTGGATCCAGGCAGCCTCTTAACATCATCACGTCCCCAGTCCCTTCTTCATGTCTGTCCCTGCCACTCCTCTATTGTGACTTTTACCAGGCATCGTGGGAGGGCTGGTTTTAATTTTCCACACCACTGCAACAGCCCAGCACCCAGCCACACTGGAAACCAATCTTGTAATTTTCCAACCTGCCTCCTCAGAGGACGGCCAGGTCAGGCCACTAGCCCTTGGTCCAGCTTCTGCCACTGGTGTGCTGTGTTGGGAAGATTGATCTCTCTGGGTCTGAGGTGTTTATGTGTAGGACGCCTAGCCTGACCTTCCTCCTGGGCTCTTCGGAGATGACAGTGTTATGGGCACAGGCAGGACACTGGTGCATCTAAGAAGTGCTCTGTGCCACCCTCCAGAAACACCGCCTTCCGGCTGGGTCTGGAACACGCCAAACTCCATCCTGCCCCCTGCCTCCCGCGCCGACTCCTCTTCCTCGTCTCTCATTGTTTGTCTGGAGGAGGCCGGGTAGCAGAACAGAACTCCAGACCCAAGAAACAGGCTAGGAGCTCCTCCTCTGGACTGGCATGGCCTCTGTTCAGCACACTCATGTGATACTGAAATTATACGTGGTGCAGACTCATTCTAAAAGGGTAGAAGCTGCCTGGGTTCAAATACCAGATTGATCAGTTACTGTGCAAACTTTGGTAACTTACCTAACCTCTCTGAGCCTCGGTTTCCTCGTGTAGAAAGTAAGGATGATAACAACAGTGCCTGCCTCGTGGAATTGTCATGAAAGTTAGCTCCATTCTACAGATGAGAAGCCTGAGGCTAAGGCAAGCAATATGAATAGGAGGAGGAGCTATTAACTGAGCTCCTACTGTGAGCAGTGCCATCTGTGTTGGGTGCTTTGCTTACGTGACCTTGTTTCATCTCAAAGCAGCCTGTTTATGGAAGCAGATGACTTGCCAGAAGTCACACAGCTCATAAGAGGTGGGCCTTTATCTGTGGTAGGGCTGACCTCACTCTTTGTTACAAGTAGCACATGACTCAGCCCAGCCAATTAGCACATCCCATCACCTCCACCACAGTGACTGGCTCAAACCTGGGCATGTGATCTCATCGATGGTCCAATGATAAGCCTACCTGAAGGATTTGCAGAATTATTGGGAACTAGAAAGTCTCCTTCTGCTTGGGTTGCTAAGACTGGAGAGAATTTGAAAGCAGAACCCAAACACAAGCGAAGTCCAGAGAGAAGAAAGAAACTGAGTTTAGTTCTCTGGACACCGGAAAGCTGGACTTTCCAGTTACATGGACTAGGAAACAATTTTAAACAAGTACGATTTGAGTTTCTGTCACTTGCCACCAAAAGATTCCTGGCTGATACAACTAGACAGTGGCTCTTTTATCTCCACTGTGCTAAATTGGATGATCCCTCTCCAGCAAAAATTATTCCAGTCTCTAGCCAAGGAACCAAAGCTGTGATATCCCCAGAGCTAATCTGAAAGAGACAAAGTAGATTTTTACTGGGCACTGAAGTGGTCGGCTGCTTGGGTTTTCTTGGAGGACAAATCCAGGGTTCCTCCCATACACCCCCACTAGAATTTGTCCAGAAAGCTGACTTGGAAAACATGCTGCTTCGACAACTGGCCTCTCTTTTCTGGCCTCTGCAGCAGGTCCTTAAAGAAATAGAATGTCTTCTCATAATAAAAGAGCTTGGACAAAATTCAAAATTCATTCTGGGGATAAAAAGATTCTGGGAAAAGCTCTCTCTGGGGGTGTTTTGCAGCAAGCACACAGTCTGAAGGGTCACCCTGCTCTCATCCATGGGTGATACAATGGTAATAATAGCAGCTACCACTTAAGGGGCACTTACAGGGGCCAGAACTGCCTAAGGTTCTTTAAAAACACTCTCCCGTTTCATCCTTGCAATATGCTTATGAAGAGAGATGACAGGTACGCTCCTTTTGCCCATGAAAGGTACAGAAACTTACCCAGGTCACAAGCTTAGCTGGCAGTGAAGCTGAGGGTTAGACCTGGGTCAAAGAGTGAACAGGTGAACGGACTCCAGATGTGAGTTTTTCCTGTTTCCTAAGATCCTGGAGCATGCAAGGTTGTTGCATCAAGTTCCACAAAGAAGTCAGACTGGCCAGTGCCAACTTTGGTTAGCCATCCAGTTTACCCATAGATGTGATAAGTAGGCTGAACGCCAGCACCCAGCCCAGCAAAGGATCAGCACTCCATAGAGGTGGATGCATCTAAAAGAGGCTGGAAGGAATGGTCCAGAGGACTTGTGTTTATTGCACACTTACCATGTGTCTAGCATTTTTACATCAAGTCATCCTTTTTGTTTTGTTTTGTTTTGTTTTTTTATCCTCACCCGAGGACATTTTTTGATATTTTGTTCAGATAGAGTGGGAGGGGGAGAGAGAGAGAGAGAAACATCGATGTGAAAGGGACACATCGAGTGGTTGCCACCCACACGACCCAACCAGGGCCAGGGACAAACTGCAACCGAGGCACGTGCCCTTAGCGGGAACCAAACCCAGGTCTCTCCAGACCGCAGGCTGACGCTCTAACCGCTGAGCCAAACTGGCCAGGGCTTGATGTAATCTTTTTTTTTTTTTTTTTGTGGTATGTGCCCCTGGCGGGAACCGAACCCAGGACTCTCTGGTCCGCAGGCTGACGCTCAACCGCTGAGCCAAACTGGCCAGGGCACATCAAGTCATTCTTTCATGCAGCGTAAAGAAGTCTTTCATTCTTTCACAACAACCAGGCACTGTGTGAGCTCCAAGATAAGATTGATTTTTTCATCCAGCTAGTTCATGGAATCCTGACCACACTCCCACATGGTTTTGACACCTCATTTTGAAAGACGTGGAAAGTGAGACTCGGAGAGGTTGACACCTATCCCAGATTCACAGAGGGTCCTGGTAAGGGGCTGAGCTGGGATGTGACCCCCATCACCCTCACTGCAAGGGCAGGAACTCTTGATCATTCTTGAAACAGTGCTCCAAGAACACCCAAAGTTCCTCCTGGTCCAGCTAGGGGCTGAAGGGTCACCCTGCAGAGTCCATTACCTCCCACGTATTCCAGGTGTCCGGAGGGCGTCTCCTTCAGTGGGACTTTATGCAGTGGTTTGGATCATATCAGCTCACAAGACCAATTGTTACATTTTTAGGACTTTTGTGAGGCAGCTAACATCATGTGGATAGCTTGAAATTGACCACAGCAAGAATATTTACACCATGGAAATGAGCAAATGCTATAAATCAAGACTCCTCTCTCCCCCTGGAGAGCCAGTTGTTAAATATTTCCCAGCACACCACTGGACTTCAGAGAAACCGTTCTGGTTCATTAATTTACTCATTCATTCATTCAGAAAATGTGTATTGAGCTCCACCTCTAACATAACACAGTCTGCATTCACTCTCAGCAAACCTTGGTTCATGGCCTACTCTCTGCCAGCCTCTGTGCTAAACATTGGGAATTCAGCAGTAGCAAGACAGGCATAGTCCCTGCCCTCGTAGAGTTCATGGTCCAATAAGGGCATCAGATTTTAACCCCAAAGTGTCACACAACCTATTAGGAGTAGGAGCTTGACCAAATCAAGCTGGCAGGTAGGAGCAGGCAGACTCCAGGTAGAGGGAATGGCATGTGCAAAGTCCCTGTGGCAGGAGGAAACTTGGCATTTTCCAGGTAGGAAGGCCAGCATGGTTCATAGTTAGAGAGGAAAGAGCAAAGGGGAGCATGGAGTTGGAGAGGGACCCTGGCAGTCCCAGTGGCCTGTGTTAGAGATGAGCCTCAGTAAGTCTATCAAAAACTGCCCACATTTTTCAAGGTCTGTAAAATTCAGTCTTCATTGCCTCATCAGATCTTTTCTGTGGTACCTCTCTGGGCCTCAGCTTCCTCACTGGAAAAATGAATATGGAAATGGAGGCTGTGGAATTTAATGAAGAAAGACATAAATGAAAAGCATTTAGCTCCATGTCTGGCCCACCACAGCCTCAATGAATCGAACTATTCCATTTATCTCCCTCCTTCCACAGAGTGCATTTGGCCTCTGTTCGCTTTCTTGCATTCAGTCCCTACACCTTCACTGAGCTCCAGGCCCTGTGCTAGGCTCAGGGAAACCAGCCATGACCAAGACAGACATAAAGGCCCCTGGGGTGAGGGGCAGTTCTCGGCCTCTGAGTTGCCTTTCTTGAATCATTCAACAAGTGTTCATTACATCCCTGCTACAGCCAAGAGCTTTTGTATCTTCAACAGTGAGGACACAAATAGGTTGACTTGGGGTGCCTTGTGGTCCACACTATAAGACCTGTCTTTTCAACATGCAGCTCTCCAGGCTGGTTTAGGTGTCTCCTTGGGACCATCTACTCTCCCTCATGCCGCTGTCACTCTGAAATATAACTGCGAATTCCCACATCTGTCTCCCTAGCAGGTCTGTGACCTCCCAGAAGGCAAGGCCTGGGTCTTCATCATCAGCACCCCACCTGGAGTCAACGTTTGTGGAATGAATCCTAAAACCGCATCACGTTACAGCTGGACCAAGAGCTGCCCCTCCCACTGCTCCCAACCCCCCTCCCTCCTCCCACTGGTGTCAGAGACCTCCCCCCCTTCGTCCCCTCCGCCCTGCCCCCGCCCGCCGTTGGGAGAAGAGCTCTGGAACTGGTGGCCAGCCCCGGGGTCTCCGGCCACGGCCCCCTCCCGGGACTCACCGAGAAGTTGTCTGCTGGAGTCGCTGACCGTCACGTTCTCCTGCCAGAAGGGGTTCATCAGCGGCGCGCACGGGCTCTGGACTGGAAGGGGCAGAGTAAGCAGTGGGGGCCCTAGAGGTGGGACCCCAGCCCGCAGATGCCCTCACGCCCCCCAGGTGCTCCACCTGGAGCGGTGCAGAGGGTACTTCTCAGAAGGATGCTGGCAGCCGCCGCTCCCGCCTGCCTCCCTCCCGGCCCCCAGACACCGCGCTGAAGGCTTGGAGGCTTCGAGGAGGGGTTCGCGCCAAGCCGAGCAACAGGTCCCGGCAAGCAGGGCACCGCGCAGGGGGCGCTGGCGGCCCCGACCCGGGTCTCCGCCGGCCCCTTACCTCGGCAGGTCCTCCAGAGACCAGAGTGCGAGCTCAAAGGCTCCAGCTGGCTGCGGTTGGCGCCCCCCGCGCCGTCCTGCGCCCCCGGGCCGCCGAGTTCCAGCCGCTGAGTGTCGATGATGTACCAGAAGTCGGTGCCGATGGCGGCCGCCAGGAGCACGAAGCTGAGCGCCCCGGCCAGCGCTGCCGCGCCCGCCAGCACGGCCAGGGACACCCGCATGGCCCGGCTTCCAGTTCCACTGACCGCGCAGCCCAGCTGGGATCTGGAACCCAGGCCCCGAACCCCGATCCCTCCCACCGTCCCTGGCTCCGCCTCTCTGAGTCTCACCTGCACCCTCAGACCACACTCCCAACCCAAGTGCACCCTCGCATCTCACTCCTCACTTCTTCCCCAGACCCCTCTCCCTCCAATCCCCGCCTCACTCTCCAGGAATCCCAGCTGCTGCCCACTCTGCGCTGCCCTCCCTTTCCACCCCAGCCCTCCTTGCTCTCCCCACACCACCTCCTCAACTCCCCACTTCCCGCCGCTTGCGCCAGGAGTCCTCCCTCGCCAGCCCTTCCACAGCTTCTGCTCCCGCTGCATGGTGCGCCCCTTCCTCCTCCGTGCTGAGCCCCCAGGCCATGGAGCCTGGGTGGTGTGTGGGAGGAAAGGCGGCCTTCCCACAAACTGGGGTAGTAAGAAGGAGGGGTGCTTTGGTCCTGACAGTCCCCAAGCTTGTGGATAATCTTCAATAGTCTTTCTCCGTCCAGCTCCAATGACCCTTCCTCCAGAATCTACCTAAAGTTGATTTTTCTAGGCTGGCTACAAAGGAAAAAAGCAAACCCATTTTTTCTAAAAGTTCTTTAAAACAATGGTCTAGGCCAGGTCCTCTTAGTCTATTGTTTCTACCATCAAAGTCTTTCTTCATCACCGTCACTGCCACTATCACCACCACCATCACCACCACTACCATCATCGTCATCACCATCATCACCATCATCACCATCACCATCATCACCACCACCATCACCCTTATCAATTCCACCATCTTCACCACCATGAAACTTTTTTTCTTTCAAGAAATACTTCTTGAGTGCCCACTGTGTGCCAGACACTATAGTGTGGCAAAAACATAGGCATAAACAACTCAAACACATCCCCAGGCCTTAACAAGTGTATGGCGTAGGAGAAAATAATCATATTTGTATGTCACACAGGGGTAACTGGAAGAGGCTTTTGGATGCTGGAGATGACCAGCCTCAGAGGCTACAGCTACCAAAGGCCCCTGGAGGGTGCCCTTATGATCAAGAAATCAAAATCTTGGCACTCCTGCAACACATTCTTAAGAAAACATTGTGCCAAGACCCAGAAATTGATTAATTGGAGAGATAATCATTATGTTCCTAATATGCTCAGAACACAGAGCTATGAGGGAAAGCACTCTAGGAGAGGTCTCGTTTCAATTCAGAACCCAGAAAGGGACCCTGATGCTGAGACATGCAGGATGCAAAGGCATTTCGTGCCTAGGAAAGGGCTTGTGTGAAGGGTTTGGAACACTCTAGAATAACTGGAAGAAGAGTAATCAGACTAGAATATAGTGATAGAAGAGCACGTAAAGAAAATTGAGATGGGTACAGGAAGAGGTCAGGTCGAACAGGTCTTGAGGTCAAAATCAAGAGTTTGGATCCTAGTCTAAGTCACTTGAATGGTTTTGAGTGGAGAAGTAAAGTGCTCTAATTTACATTTTTAACAATCTCAGCCTCTAGCCTGGCTGGTGTGGTCCAGTGGATAGAGCATCGGCCCTCACATCGAAGGGTCACGGGTTTTATTCCTAGTCAAGGGCACGTACCTGGGTTGCAGGTTCTGATCTCCAGCCCAGGTCGGGCACGTGCAGGAGGCAACCAATTGATGTGTGTGTGTGTGTGTGTGTGTGTGTGTGTCCCCTGCTCTCCCTTCCACTCTCTCTAAAATTCAATGGAAAACATATCCTCAGGTGGGAACTAACAACAACAAAATCTGTCTCCACACTGGCATAGTCTGTAGGGAGAAGGAAGGGAAGCAAGGAGGACATTGCAGTAGAAGCAGCACGAGATGCTGATGGCTTGGGCTAGGGTGGTACCAGCAGTGGAAAGGGAGAGAAGTGAATTTTCTAATTGGGGGAGCAGGGTGTGGCAGAATTGATAGGACTTGGTGCTAGACTGGGGCTGAGAATTATTCTTTTCCTAGTCACTTTATTCTCCCTTACCCAAACCATCTTAATCTTCATCATCACATCCTCACCTTCATTATCAGCAGCATCAGCAGCACCCTGAACAGAGCTCTCACCAGCAAGAACACATCCTCCCCTTGAATCTGTACAACATTCCACTCCATCACACCACCTGACTAAAATGCATCCTTCCCATAACCATCACTACTGAGGACTTTGCTTTCAATTCCATCACACTATGGCTGTCGTCTTTCATTGCACCATCATCAAAACAGTCCCCAACTCTTCCATCAACATCAGGGAGCCTAGATGAAGTTAAAAGTCAATGTGGCTGGTCCCAGGACTCCCAGTTATGTCGTTAAGGGTTAATCTCTTCTCTCTCTCCTCTTTTGCTTTGTCTCTCAATTGCTTTTCCTTCTCTTGGCTTCATTCTTCAAGCAGCCTCTAATTTGTTGGACTTCAGGACCTTCCTTTCACAGCTCAGCAACTTCAACAAAAGGAGGGAATCTCTTCTTCAATGGCGTTAGACACATTTCCAGAACTGAAGCTCATTTGCATGTCTTTGGTCCTATTCTTATCTCTGAACAAATCTCTGTGACTCAGAGGGATAGAATGCAATGATGAGCCAAGATTGGGTCACCTGCCCTGGCCGGTTTGGCTCAGCGGTTAGAGCGTCCGCCTGCGGTCCGGAGAGACCCGGGTTCGGTTCCCGCTAAGGGCATGTACCTCGGTTGCGGTTTGTCCCCGACCCTGGTTGGTTGTGCGGGTGGCAGCCACTCAATGTGTCCCTTTCACATCGATGTTTCCCTCTCTCTCTCTTCCTCTCTCTCCCTCCCACACTGTCTGTACAAAAAATGGAAAAATATCCTCGGATGAGGATTAAAAAAAAAAAAAAGATTGAGTCACCTGCCCACTCCTGGAGCTCTGCCACCTTAACCCTTTAAGCTAAGAGGTGTTATGGCTGCCAGATGGAGCAAATCAAAATACAAGAAAACCAGTTACATTTGCATTTTAGATAAACAATGAATAATTTTTAGCATAAGACTATCCTGTGTGATATTTGGGATGTACTAAAAAGTGTTTGCTTTGTTGTTGTTGAATCTGAAGTTCAAATTTAACTGAGTGCCCTGTATTTTGTCTGGAAAACTTGGCTGGCTCTTCAAAGGAAAATCAAGGAGTCATGATCAGAATGAGGAAAAGGGATGATGGCAAACAAAAACAACAGCCGCTCTTACACTCAGCAGGTGTCTGTCCCTTCCCGGGGTCCTACTGTCCTCATCTACATAAGGAGATCTTCTTCCAGGCACCCTTTACATAGATAACCTTGCAGGTTTTCATCATTCCAATTTTCCTAGGGATTTTAATAAAATCTACCTGAATCATGCTCGGTCGCTCTAAAAAGAACAGAAAGTAGTATTTTTTAAATTAAAGTAAGTTACAGTAATGAATCTGGGGATGGGGTGGAGCATATCAAACACCAAATAATATCATTACTCAGCCTGTCAACTGAAGAGGCAGGATAAAACCTGAAGGCTCCAGAAGCAGAATGCAAATAAGCCACAGCATTTAGGATGGAAGCCGCGCCAGGCATCCCGGTGGGTACTGGCATTGCAGAGAACAACACTTAGCAGGGATTCAACACTGTACAGGCTGCCTTTGAGTCTGAAATCAGCATCTTACAGGCTGTGTATGCACAGAGAACTTGCCTCCCTTCTCTGAGCCTCAGTTTCCCCGGCTGTAAAACGGGGATGCTCATACCAAACAATCCCAGAAGAGCAGTATGAGGATGGGATGAGATGATGGGTATAAAAGTACTTTTTGACCTATGCATAGTCCTTCCAATGTCATTATTAAAATATGGAGCTAAATGGCGATGGAAGGAGACTTGGTGTGGCAAACGCACAATACAATATGCAGATGATGTATTGCAGAATTGTACACCTGAAACCTGTATAATTTTATTAACCGATGTCACCTCCAATAAATTCAATAAGCAATATTTTAAAATAAATTAACTTGTGTATTTATTAATGAATGACAGCATCAGTTGGTTGTAAAAAGAAACGGAAAGGCTTTCAGAAGTGCAGGGTGGGAGGTGCATTTGAAGACTGTAAAGAGGAAATATTTTAAAAGAAAGAGGAGGGCAGAAGGGAGGGGAGATGTCAAGATATCAGGAAGGGCCCTGGCCGGTTTGGCTCAGCGGTTAGAGCATCCGCCTGCGGTCCGGAGAGACCCGGGTTCAGTTCCCGCTAAGGGCATGTACCTCGGTTGCAGTTTGTCCCCGGCCCTGGTTGGTCATGCGGGTGGCAGCCACTCGATGTGTCCCTTTCACATTGATGTTTCCCTCTCTCTCTCTCTCTCTCTCTCTCTCTTCCTCTCTCTCCCTCCCACTCTATCTGTGCAAAAAAAAAAAAAAAAAAAGATATCAGGAAGGAATGTTACCTTTCAATATGAAGCATATGGTATCATGGAAAAGACGACACCCTTTAAATCAGTGAGATCTGGATTCATGCAATTCTGCGGCCCCAAGGCCCTGCCTGCCTCGCCAGCCTCACATGCCCATGTTTTGAATGGTGAAGTTCTTTCCTGCCTCTGGAATCTTCACACATGCTGTTCCCTTTAACTGGGACACTCTTATCCCCACTTTTGTTTTGGTCTGAACTTTTAAAATTAAGTCTTTGGAAAGGGCCTAACTAACATCCCAACTGAGGTTAAATGCTCTTACGATATGCTGATTCGGGTGTGGTTAAAGCCCCACATGACCTCTCAGGCACTCAGCTTTTCAACTCGTGCCTACACATCCTCCCACACAACCCAGGACTCTCCACATACAGACTTGCTCCCAGAGTGAGAACGCTGGAGTTATTGGAGAATGGAGGTAGCCAGGAACAGCCAAGGATGAATGGAGTTGGAGGATAAATAGCTGACTCACCCCTTAGGGGAATGGACCACTCTGAGGTGTGTTCTCCTCTGTCCCCATGTGCTGGCATATTTATAACCCCATAATTGATGATTGGTAAATTATTGTGCT